ATGACAAAAGCAGAATATATTAACAAGTATATTAGACAATAAGTAAAAGCTAATAGTCCTGATCAAAATCTTCACAGCTAACCAGGCCAGGATGTAAAATTCAGTTGCATGCGGCTATAGCCCAGATTTCATTAGCCCCAACGTTGTGTGTGATGCTGTATGTAAACTCACCCATAAAAGACTGTTTTTTAAAAAAATTCCTTATTTTTTAGGCCACTACTGGTCAGCAGAAGACGGATCATATTTAGAGATACTAATGGCTTAACATCCAGCTAATTTTCCAAAGACCGTTATGGTTAACATCAAAACCAGAAAACAAGGCAAAAGAACAGCATTTTATTCCATTGAAAGGGACTCTTCTCCCCTTTTCCTCCCTTTTATTTCTCTTTAAAAAAAAATGAGATCAGAGTACTTACTTTAAGTAACCAAGTCAGCACAGAATCACGATAAGGAACAAATTTGTTCTTGTTCTTGCCAGCAGCCTGATCTGCCAGTGCAGAAATAACCAGCCCAAGAGTTGTGAGAGATCTGCACAGAGAATACATGAAGTGTAAATATTCATAAGTCAAACGCATATTTAGACAGTCGCTTTTTCTCCAAAAATGAGCTCCGAGGAGAAAGTTCCCAGTACAGTTTTGATCATTCTTTTCTCACAAAAGCTCTACTCCTCATTTTCAGGACGTGTTTTCAGCCTTAATAATCATGTCTTCACAATGCAATCATGTGGCAATTTGCAGGAACACAAGTACAGAACAAAAAACCCCAATAATTTTAAATAGGCAGAGATCTCATTCAAACACCTAAGAGTATTGTACGTCTGAAGGAAAAGTAGAGAAAAGGGAAGAAGAAAACTGGCTACAAGAGCTCATACTGATTTTATCCTATTTTATGAGTGTACTGCATTTAGCTGTCATGATTTTACTGATGAAAAGAAGGAAAAGAAATAGTAACTGAGTCTTACTTGTTAATGTTGCTCCCTTCTTTCAGCCTGTCTCCTGCAGCACCAGTCTTAGTTGCCCTTTCACTACCTGCTAAGTCCACCAGACTCAGCTTGCCCACCTTCTCACCCGAGGACTGCAGAAGGAACCAGAGAACATCTACTGTTAGTTCACTCTAATTAAGTGACAGAGTTTGACACATTTTCAAACAAGAATCAAGCTTCATTTCTCGGTGTAGCCCCTCTAACAGCTTTGAAAATCATTGTACTTGAACAATATTCTGTGATAACTCACTAGTTGCTGCTCCAGAAACAACAGGAGGATTTAAAGTGAGATAAGATACACTTGTACCTTCGAGACATCTCGGAAATCTCCAGAGGAGAAAAACACACAAACAAGAATCAAGCTTCATTTCTCGGTGTAGCCCCTCTAACAGCTTTGAAAATCATTGTACTTGAACAATATTCTGTGATAACTCGCTAGTTGCTGCTCAAGAAACAACAGGAGGATTTAAAGTGACATAAGATACTCTCAGAAATCTCCAGAGGAGAAAAACACGGGGCACGTTAGTCAAATGTTAAAGCAAGAACATATGCAGACTTAGCACAGGCCAAGGAGTCACAAAGACAGAAAGAAGCTCTGCCTTTGTTTTATCACCTTGAAAACAGTCTCCAAAAAGTCTCAGGCTTTATACCAGGTTTCCATTCCGTTTTTTAGAAAGTGAGAATAAACATGGCAAGAAGCACTTATGAATACAATTACAATTGCAAGGTCTCCTATATCCTAATTCTTCCTGGAATCCAAGCTGTGTGAGTATTTCAATCCTGTAACACAGACTTTGTTATAAACCCTTTCGTCGTATTTGACCCGAAATGACATTCTGAAACACTCCATGAATTTCCTATATCAATTTGCAGCTGAAGAGCTAACGCTGTCTTTGAAAACGGTTTGCTTACATCATGCTTTTCTGCAGCATCTATGACTTTAGAATCTCAGTATCACAGTTGCAAAGTGCTACGTTCCCCTAAATGAATGGGTTAATTAGATATGCTTTCATATCAAATCAATATGCTTTCAAAAATGTTACTCTAAGCCTCTCAAAGCATAGTGTGATCATCAAGCCATACAGAAATGTGTCATCACCAGGACTGAAAGGACCAGCAGATGGGAAAACAGAGAAATCTGTGCCAGAAACTCACACAGTGGTCACTGGAAGATGCAGGAAAGACACTCAAAACTACCTCCTTGCATCCAGGCTCACCATGACCACGCAAAAAATGTGTATGGTAAGTATGTGCCACAGCAAAAACTGAACGACAAACTGCGGCAAATCAAGGTGTTTAGCATAGTATGAGTACTGATCTGAAGTGCAAAGAGGGGAAAAAAATCAAATAAAGAACGGGGAAAATTGTCTGGATAAGAAGATTGGTGGAGACTGAG